ATGCTGTGCACGCGTGCACGCAAGCCCTCCTCTACGCCATACCGAGTTTCTTTCGGTCGAGTGAAAAAGAGAGAGAGAAAGAGAGACAGACAGTGAGAGTGAGTAAGAGACGACGGCAATGATATGTGGGGAGAAGAAGAGTTCAAACGTCGTCTCAGTCGCCGTCTACGCGCGTATATATTATAATAATAATGTGATAAAATTACCCGGGCCGAAAGAGAGCGGAATAAGAGTAGAAACGGGAGAGGAGAAATCGAGGGTGGTCCGTGCGTGTGTGCGTCTTGTTGTCGGGCACGATAAGGGACGCGAAACGGGGCTGCAGAGCGACGGCGGGAAGAGAACTCGCGCGCAGTATAATATATATATATATATACTAAAACCCGGCAGCAGTTTTAAACTCGTATACCACTCCGCCGCACCCTAAGCCGAATGAATAATGGCGGCAGCGACGGCGGCGGTGGCGGCCCGAGGGTAAAGAATCCCCTATTTTCTTTGCGCCGCCCCCTCGCGCGCGCCACGGATTCTTTGGCGGCCGAAAAGGGTGGCGCGGGCGGTGGCGAACTATACATTCTTGGTGCGCGCAACCCCGCCGCTGCCGCTGCGCTCGCCCGCCACTATATATTATACTTCCACGCCGACACGCCGCTCTAACCCTTTTTGCGCGCGAGAAACATTTTAAAGGCATCTTTGCCGTTATCGGTGTGCAGTATCACCGTCGTGCACGCGACACGGCCCGACTACCATAGATACGCACACACACACATTCACGTGCACATTATGAAGGTATATGCACAGTACATAGTGAGCACGAAAGGAAGATGGCCTCGTCGCGGGGGACCCGTATGAATTACGGCCTTAAGGTTATAAACCGTGCCAAGAAATCCTATTAAGTATAATATGAAATACTTCGACCACGTCGCTGCTGTTTCCGAGCGCATATAATATATATATATATAATCCGTGTGTCTGTGTGTATAGGAATTCGACGATAACAATATTCCCGAGCTCTTTGCTATGGGTAGGTACTATTATTATTACCTACCGTCGTGTCGTAAGCGCCACAATAAGAATCGCCGTACATATATCTATAAAGGTTTTACCTGTCAGAGGAATGCGCGCCGCTTCTTCCTATCTGCTCGCGAATTTGCGTATTCATTATGATTATCGCTATAGTGCTATACTAAACATTATAATACCTACGGGCTAGGTTAGGCTAGTCGTGGATACGCGTGACGACAGAGTTGGTCAATTTTATCCAAAACCAAAATTAGTACAATATGTGGTGGCCATCGTGTGTTAAACAGTATTATTTTTGATTTAATCTTAATAATGCATTTAAAAATGGAAAATCGTTTTTCACTATTAAAATTAAAATGTATTTATTTAATTCAATAGTCGCCATCAACGCATGTCTGAGGATATTTACCTAAGACGCGTTTAAAAGCTATTTTTTAGGCTATATATTCATTAAAAAAATTAGTACTGTAGCTATTGGACTACAGGAATAATTTCACTTATAAATAACAATATATAAACACTATATTGTTGATAGTGTTATAGAAATAATTAAAACTAATCAAATATCTCTTCAACATAATATTACGTACATTAGATTATATTTATATAAACTATTCAGATCATTACGCAATATTTTAATAAAAATAATTCCTTATATGTATTATGTATAATAAACTATTGGAAACTATTTTATGATTAATAACAAAGTTAAACGTAATAAAATAATAAAACTAGGTAGTAATATTAGTTATTACAAAAAGTAAAAAAAGCGAATAAAGGTTATTCCAGTTTAAATTTACTTTATAAAACCCCAACGGTAATACAAAAACTACTTTCACAAGTTTTATTTTATTATCCATTAGTACAAGTACATGTTATTAGTTAGCTTTTAGTTGTCAAGAATTGTATAACTATAAGGTACATTTGCGAGAACACTATTTATATTAATATAAGTATAAACATTTTTGAGTAAATACTTTTTTCTTATAATAAAAACACTAATAAGGTTTTATTAAGCTCATCTAAAAGATTGTGAATTGGAAAACCAGAATTCAATAGTTTTTTAAGCGCCAAGAAAATCTACTGACTATAGCGTAAAATAGTTTTATGAAAATTTCAGAAAGCGTATAGTTTTAACCGACATCTAATAAAAACAGTTTGAAAATATAAAAACTTTATAAATAATAATCATATTATTATATCTTGATATTATTTTTATAATTAATATATTAATAAATAAAAATATAGCATAAACTTACGGGTTCTAGTTTTCTCGGGAGTCTTACGTTTGAACTTACTGATATTTTAACATTATTATTAATAATTTATTATTTTATTAGTACGGACATTAAAATGCTAGTTATGTAAATAGTAAATATTCATTATTCTCAAATATCTTAAATAATAATATCATAGTTATGATTTGTAAATAAATAAATTCGTTAATCAATATTTGATTATTTTTTAATTTTTTGTAATTTTTCACAAAATGTCAAAGATATTTTTCTTTGATTTTGACTATAATTGTTTTTTTCTAATTAAAAAAGAAAACTTCGAAAATTCTTAGATCCTTATCAAAAGTGATTCAACTTGAACTTTAAAGTTGAATATTTTATATTTGATCTGTTAATTTTACTGAGCAAAAATTATAGAAAAACTAAAAAAAATTACGGAGAGTCATTTTTAATAAAGAATTATTTGTTCGTAATTCATTTACAACATGCTTGTAATTTATACAAACATTAGATTAAGTGTTATAATATATACAATAATTTACAAAAAGGAAGTTATTTTTGATACTAATATAGAATTTTTTTAAAGTTATTAAAATATTTGTATTTATATTATTTACAAGTAAATTTGACTTCCATTGATCGTCATACTCGTGTATGTTATTAATATAAAATAAATGTTGAATTATGACTAATGATGTAACATTACGTAGAATGTAGATGCTATTAAATTGTTTACTGATCCTAAACTAATGTAAGATATCGAGATTTAAATTATACAAACCATTGAGGTTAATCATATTGGAAAAAGTTACTAGTGTTGGAAGATTGTTTCTATTATAGGTATTTTGTGCGATGGTATTATGTTTGAATATTATAATTATGTTTTAATTGTTATTAATCAAAGTTAATATGTATTATCGCAATGTAAATATGAGTTCATATGCATGTATAAGGCACGAATTTCTAATGAAATAAAAATCAATTGTTTTACTGACATTGACACTCTACAGCACGATCCAACAATGCGAAAAATTTGACATGTATCGGCAGTAGCAACTGTATGAAGGTAGTGTGGCAGAAACGTAATGGAATTCGGATGAGAGTATGAGCGGGAATTCTCGTAAATGGACAAAGCGTGTAGTAGAAGTCTGTTTAAAGTCGAAGGGAAAAACTATATGTACATATGAAACGACGTCGATGATAGTGGTGGCGGTATTAAAGGAAAGGAAACGAAGGGATCTTGCTGGTGAGGAGGTGTGGCGGTGGTCTGGGTCGATAGATAATTTATGCGATGTCTGTAAGAGGGTATGGTAGCGGAATGGGGGGAGAGTCCGCGAGGAGACGAGACGAGACGTGGCGGTGCGGCAGAGAACGTCCTCGGAGCCGGGGCAAAAGGAGGCAAAAATGGAACGTTGGGAGAGCGGTGGCGGCAGTGGCAGCAGAGCAAAGGAAAATGTTGACGAGAAAACTTTTGTATGAATAATGAAGCCCGCTTGCTGCAAGTCGAAGGGTTTTTCGGACAGGCGGCGGTGGAGGTGGTGGACGACGACGACGACGACCGGGGGTTAGATAGCAGCGGCAGGCAGGCACAATGGCTGAACCCCGGGAAAAGAGGGCGAACTTTAGTTTTGACGTGCAATCCTCTCTCTTTCCTCCACGCATGCACATATATACACATATTATACATTATACGCCCGTGTGTGCGTGTAGTACCATTACTCTCTCTTATATAATATGCGTACGCGTGTGCGTATTTTTGTGTACGTAGATATATATACACGTTGAAAGGAAGCATTATTCGCGCAAAAGTACACACACACACATTATATTTATATACATAACGCGTACGCTCATGGTGCAAAAGACGAACGAGCGGGTGAAATAATTCTGTGAGTCGTTACGGCTGTGCTGGTGATAAAACGACGGCGGTGTTGACGAAGAAGGCGAAATATAAAGAGAAGACCCGTCGTAATAATAAAGTTTCCAAGTCGATTTACTATATTATACTGGAGCTCACGCACTGCGTCGCCGGAAAGACGACAACGGCAGTGGCGGCGGCTGCGAGATGTGTACAATATTATTATTTATTTATACGGATAAAAGGTCCTATATTACAATAAAAATTGTTTATCTTATTATGCTTATCTAAGAGCTAAATTCACAAAAACTATTAACAAACGGATCAATATTGTACATACTGACTAAGCTCATTTAACGATTAATTGGTGTATTTGATACTAATTAAGTACTTTTTAAAGATGACTAAAACAAATTGAAATTTCTTAAATTAATTTTAAACACCTTAAAACTAATCATATTATTTAATAATTCAGGATATTCAATTAAACTGTTAATTAATTTATGCGAGAAAAATAAATCTAATTTTTTCCTTCTTGTTTCTAAAGTGTTTAAATTTAAGATATTAATATTATTATTCCGAGAAATTGTTTTAAATGTCGTCATCGTCGTCGTCGCGCGCGCAAGCGCACTTATAATGTATTATGCTAAACAGACCCTCGGAAGGTGATTGCTGTTACGCGTTTTTTCATCGGTGTATTAATATTGTTAATGTTATTTTTATAGGAAGAAGAAAACGGAACCATTCGGTACGTGAAAACTCGTATTGACGCATTTCAATGTTATCGGTACGAAAAAAAAAAGAAACACCGTCAAAAATCCGAAACCAATAAGCAAAATAACACACGTAAAAACTAAAAAAAATAAAATATAGGTAATTCTGATACTCACGGATTGTTTTTTAGCTCACGTTCCCAGATAGTGACATGTCTAAGGCTGAATCAGCGGCTATACTGCGGTGTTTAAAATCCGAGTGAACGGCTAGAACCGATATACGATAATAATATTATACATCCGAGAAAAAAAGGGGTTCGATCGGGTTTTGCCGAAGGGCCGATACCGGTCGTTCCTGTCAATCCAGTTTTATATTATTATTATTATTATTATTATTATTATTATTATTATTTTACTTTTTATATTTTATGGCACGTCGTTCTCGGGACATCGAAAGGCTATCGAACTAGTTTTATCGATTGTAACACGTTTATATTGTATTGTACTCGTGGTTTCCACTGTGGGACCGGAATTACTCGTTCCGCGGCTGGACATCTGGTCCCCTATTTTTGACCGTCCGCGGTCTTCGGACCCCGGGGGAAGAACCTTTGTGGCCAAAATTTAGAGAAATACACATATACGCACAAAGTAATAGTACAAAATAATAATATACGCTTCATCGTCAGATCGACGAAAGCCCAGAGGCAAATTCGCACAGGATACCCCACGGTCTTCGGTTACGCCTACTGTGTCGTATCTGCTGTGTTCTTTCAGCTCATTATTGGTGATTGGCAATAACAGTTAGCATAAAGGTACATTTTTTTACACCGAAATAAAAAGAACAATCTGTAATAATAAGTATATGATATAATAAAATAAATGCATAAATTGTTGTATAATATATTTAATTGAACCTAATATGTATTTTTTATCATTAAAGCTAACATTATTTAACAATTTTTAATTTTGCAAAATATACAATTTTATAATTTGTCTCAAAGATTAAAAAATTAAACCTGAAGAAATATTTTAATATTCTTAATCCAACTAAACCATACTAAATCAAGTTTACAATCGTAACAATGTTACCTAATATTATTTACTTTAAATACTAATGATCATTATGTAGTTACGCTTAGACACATAGTGTATGCTAATATAATACATTAAAAATATGTAATTTTTAATATTAATACTGTATAAAATAAATGTAAAATTTATTTTGTTACTTAGTATTTTTTTATTAAAACTATAACTTATTGAAAATAATATTTTATCGATTATTCATTTAAGTATTAGATAGTTAAAAGTGTTAATCTATTTTATAAATTAATTTTTTTTTAAACAAAATCCGAATAGTATTTTTAGAAATATTTTAAGATAATATGTCTAATTTTAATGTTTATTATATAACGCACGATTGACACTATATACTATTAAAATATTATTAAGTATTTTTTTCTAACTATGTAGGTATCTAAACTTCACAAATTATCAATTAATTAATTATTTTAATTAAAATTCTATGAATTAAAAAAAAAATAAGGGTTTACTGATAAACAAACCACACATTCTATTTCAGTATATAAATTTTTAAGTTAACCATTTTAAATGTGGGTATGTAATGAATAATGATATAATGTGTACTATACGCAGTACTATATTTATAGTTGCGTAAAATAATTCTAAACCAATAAGAAAAATCAAGTACCTAAGTTGTTCTAAATATTTTATTAATAATTCTTATTAAAGATATTTATTAATAAAAGTCTTTTATTAAACAAGTAGGTACCGCGCTGTTGTATATTAGGTGCCGAATTGTTATTATAGTATTATGAGTAAGTTAAATTTAAATTCAATGATAAATCGTTGTAAACGAAAAACGATTCTAAAGGGAACTATTTGTCAACCCATATAATATTACTGAGTGTATTTTGTGATATGCTTTTTTTATATATTTATTAAATCTATTTATTTATTTTTAGTATTGCAAAAGGTTGATGTATTATTTAATTATTATAAAAACATAACATCCACACAAAATTATAAACATCTATATAACTTGAAATTTAATTTTAACTATGTAAATACCGTAAAACGGTAAAAAATATATTCATAATATCAAGAGATATCATCTTAAAATTGATCAAAAATGCATTGCGTAATAATTAACATCGTTATTTATTGTTTAAATAATTAATTTAATGAAGAATTGCGACAAAACTCTAACTACAAATGAATATGAAAAAAATGTGGCTATATATTTTTATATAGATACAAGAGAAACTTATGTAGAAATTCGTATCCATTTTTTTTTTTTAAATTTTAACCCTGTGAATAATTTTTTATCGATATTTATAAAAAAAAAATAATAAAATTTGAGATATCTATTAAATAGCTTAAAGTGAGTTAAACAATTTTTATGTAATTATAGGTCAATGCTAATTTTAATACTGTTATACGTAATTACATTCTTCGACTATACTCATTTAAAAAATGCTGATTATATTAACTCTAATTTAAAAAACTACCTATTTCAAAATTATTTTTTTTTTAATTTATTGAACTTAAATTTAAAAAATAAAGTAACTTTTTTTGTTATTTGGATCCGAATTAAACAAAAATATTTTTAAAAAATAATACAAAAAAAATATTATTAAATTTTAATTTTAATTTTTTTCTCATAAATCATCAGTATTAATATTAATTTATTTGATTACATTTTAAACTTAACTATATTAATAAGAATTTGGTTCAGTTTGAAAATTTGAAATTTTTAGTTTAGTTTTCGAATAAATTGAAACAAAATAATAATAGTAAAGCAATTATTGATGGTACATTATTTTTTATTATTATTATTATTATTTATTACAATGTATAGTTATTGATTTATTCATTTAAAAGTCTTACGTGATATCTATGGTAAGTAAATCGTTACTTCTAATAAATATATTTTAAGTATTTAAATTGAATTTTTTAACAAGATTCAGTATATTGCCTGATGTACAAGCAAGATTAGTAAAATACATAAGGCGTTTGAGACAAATGATCAACTATTCATGTATATAGAATCTGTCTATAGTTACTAACGACATATGTGCAGATTGTACCTATCTCTCATTATTTAATATATATGAGCAAATTACACTGTAAAGTGGAATCTTCTTTGAACATTTCTATAATTTGTCGACAACACTTCCAGTTTACTTACCCCGAGTTTCACACATACGAATAGTTATTCGATTACATAAAATATCTGTACGTGAGGTAGGCATTTATAACTGTGTATACCTGCTAGCTATAAGCTATACTGCGATCATTATATTTTAATTTGGAAGCGTATTCGTACGAGTGGTTGGACGTATACTTTTACAGTTGACAGCCAATGCTCATTAGAGAAACTGAAATCCCAAACGACGCTTGTTTGTGCGAGTGCTGTTGTAGATAGATGCAAAACAAATATATTATATAAATGCATTGTCACCTGTACTCTGCAGTATCCCCAGATCTCCATCGAAAACTGACGATAACTTTTAGGACGGGTCGCAGGCGTCACATCTTTCAAGGCCCAACAGCGGCACACGAGATTACGTTAATTGGTATTTAGTTGCGTCTTAACTCTTGATATTTAACGTCTTCGTAAGCGTGCGTCTTGTCAATCACGCGCAATATATTATATTTATGTCTACGCGTGCCAGTCATCGTTATCAACACACGTGTAATCGAATATAATATAATAGAATATGCGATATATACGAGTATAATATATACAAATAATTATAATACATAATAATTAATATATTTTATTAATAGCACACTTATATCTATGACGTGAAAATCACACAAAAATTACGTGCCGATTTTCACTCATCTACAATGAAAAAATATTAGAAATTTAAGATAAAGTTACTTTCATACTCACATTTTTAACGACAAATATAAAACATGAGAAACTTGCGTCGTTGTCTGCCAGCGGTGACACACAAATGAGTGGAGCGCCAATCAGAAAATTAGGAATGTATTTATTTATTCTACATATACAAAAAGCACCAGGCAAGCGACGTGACAAGGTGTATCACACCTGTAATGAACGACTGCTAGACACTCGAATTCGGCTTTCATAGACTTATTTTATGCTTTCTAAACGACATCGCCAAAGTGTAGAGCCACCAAATCAATGATACAAACGTCGCCAACGTCATAATTACCGGTTTCGTCACAAGACTTAACATTTGACGATTGGATTTTTTCAATTAGAGTTTTTCTCAAGTCCTATCTCGATATAGGGTATTCACTAATAGAGCGAGTTTTACCAGTTCCCGTTATAAATAAAAAATGATGTTATTAGTATATACGTATTATTATTTTATTTTAACTATACTGGTTAATATAAACAAGAAAAATAAACAATAGCCTTAGAAGTTTTAGAATTTATTTATCGTCTTAAATCATTAACAGTTACCTAATTAATATTCTTTAATACGAGCAGTTCTTATTTGTACAGAGTTGTTAAGTCTGATGTACAAATGTCTATAATACTGCAGTAATGAACTCTCATGAGAAGTGATGTCGATCAATTATTATCGACAGCCTCGGTTTGGAAGTTAACCACATGATACTGGCATTCGGGCTGCCATCAATGAATTTCATTATGAATTATCGAAAAATAGTCATTGGATCATCGTTATAATATATATGTATATTTATATTTTTTTCAAATTATAATTTATTAAGGTTTCAATTACAGAGATAATTAGCCTGTAATGAGGTTACAGTAAGGGGTACATATGTGAAAGGACTTATACTATTCAAGAATTCATTATGTGAAATACATCATACATTTTTATCTACTAAAACGTTGAAGATGTTGGCAGTGTTGTTTGATTGATAGCTTCTTCTGGCGATGTTGGATTGTTATGGAGGTGACGTAATAAAAAGCATTTAAGGCAGTGTATGATTGTAATAGAAGTTTATCATATTTCACATAATGGTTTAGGTTCCTTGGTGATAAGGTACAAGTGGATGATACGTGTATACTGTATGCCCTATCCTAACTCTATTAATAAGTACATGTTTTCTCCTGGTTGAGTTGTCTGAATTAGTCCACTTGGATGTAGTGTTTTAATAATTTTATTATTTGATTATAATATAATTATATATTTTTATGCGAATTATGAATTTGAAAAACGATGACTATTTTTTTTGCATTTAAAAATTGCTTATATTGATGTTTAATAATTAATTATAATCTGTGTTTATATGTATTAATATAAATTG